CTTTCCTTTTTTTTTTTTTTTTTTTTTTTTTTCGTTGAAGGATTTTTCGTTCGATGTAGGGGGAATGTAGAACCAAATTGATGAAATTGGAATTGATGAAATTATTTTTCTGGTACGCGAACGACGCAGGTGGTTAATTACTCGCGAAAGAATTTGGTCGATAATGGAGGACTTTTCTTTTGAGTTAGAAATTTCTAATACAGTCGTATTTCAATATTTCATATAGAATTGTATCGTATAGGAAATTTATTAAATTTCTATGTAAAGAACTTATTGCAAGAAATTATTTTTCTGAAACACGTGATGCAGATATTTTAACCGGTTCAGCAGTTCTATAACTTGCATTTTTTATTTATTATACGCGTAAACAACGAAAATATCCATCCGACAAAGTATCAAGCTCCAAAATTGCGAATCTTCAATATAAATAATATCGGCCTCTCCATCAAACAAATGAAACAATCTTTCTCTTTCAAATATTTCTGCGATATCTTATTACACTTAATTGTACTTAACTATATTTAATTCACAACTGAAGAATCGATTGCAGCCAAGAGATTAAACGAACAAAATATCGAAATGTTAAACATATTTCATTTATTGAAATGCATCGACTAGAAGCATAAATTAGAAAAAGAAAAAAAGAATAACGACTTTGTAGATCGATACTCGAACGATCCAGAGGATCGATAACGAACAAGTCTGCTGTCTGGTGACGATATTTTTCGAGAAGAGCTCGAGAGGTACGCGTGTTGACTCACTTGGTTCACGCAGAACGATAAGACGAGCACGTCTAACGAGTAGATAACTGTTTTTCTTGGAAAAATTGCATGGTACCGATGGAACAGAGCACACCAATGGAATCTCAATGATTCATCGATCGTAAGATTCGCATAACTAATCTATGTATCTCAATACTAGGTGCAATATCGACGTGATTGCTCGGAAAGAAATTCTGTCGAATATAATTATATTGCTGGCCATAGCTAGGGAATTATTTCTTCTGATGCAGATCTAACATTGAATTTCCGTATTAATTAAGAATCAATCTTTAATTTTCTTTCCAACGATGACTGTTTCTCAGCTAAGTTTAAAGTGATGTTTAAATGTAATATTCATTATATTCATTAGAATTATATTATATTCATTAGAATTCAAAGTTACGGTAAACAATGTGTGTCTCGCAAATATGCTACATGCTGTAGCATTTTATAAAACACACGGTCGTAAAAATTTTCGCAAGAAGAATCTTATCAACGTATAATTTCAGACCAAAATAAAAGCTTTACTCTGACCGAAAATATCCCCTCAATTTCTACAATTTTGTTCCATTCGCTGGGCATCATAATTGACGCTTTCCGCGCAGTGCTTAGTGCATTTTAACACTCATCGATTTCGCTCGATCACCGTCGTTCCTTAAACTGCAAAAGATCGAGAATGCAAACACGAACGTC